ACCTGATAGATAGTGACTAAAGTTGGGATCGAACAAACTTTTTCTGATATGCAAGGGAAAATGGAGCCCGAATCGAAAAAGCAAGATACGCCTTCATTAATCTGAAACCAGTTAGCAGATCTTCTGCACTTCACCTCAACATACACAACAAGATTCGGATTCTGTTCAACACAAATGTGAAGTCAGTCAGTCACTGCTACTATACGGGTCAGAGACTTGCACTGCGTGTGCTTCCCTAAAAGCGGTTTCAGCAGGCTACGGCACACTTTTATCAACAGCTACCACAGTCTCTGGCCAGCTGGCCAGATTTATTTATTATTTATTGTTCCCTTGGGTTCCTAGTGGAACATAGAGCTTCAACCAGACGTCTCCACTTGCTTCTGTCTTCTGCTGTACTTTTCACTTGCATCCATGTTAATCCATACTGTTTCAACTCCTATTCACACGATCTCCTCCATGTCACCCTTGGACGTCCCACTTGCCGCTTCCCTTCCGGGTTCCAATCGAGCACTGGCCTGACGCACGATGTCACCCAGCGGCCTCCTCAGCGAGTGTCTAATCCATCTCCACTTTCTCCTGCATATTTGTTGGGCGATTGGTTCTGGTTTTGTTTCTTCCCATAGTTTGTTGTTGGTGATTCTTTCCAACGGCCATCTGATCTTCCGTATAGAACGAAGACAGTTGTTGATAAAGGTCTGCAATAGGCTGTTGGAAATATTCTTTGTGACCCGCCAAGTTTCTGATCCGTACGTATAGAAGAACTGACTGACTTGACGTTTGTATTGGAAATCCGAATTTTGTTGTTGATGTAGGCTGAGTGACGAAGATTTCCAGATTGGTTTCAGGTTGATGAATGTGTTTCTCGCCTTCCCGGTTCTCGATTTGACATCCTCGTCCGTTCCTCCTGTAGTTGAGACAATGCTCCCTAGATAAGTGAATAAGCTGGCCAGTTGATCAAATAGAATTAGCATCAAGAAACTCTTCAGTGGAACAAACTAACAGGCAAGAGCCGACTGCTCAACAGATATATAGAAGAAGATAGAAATGGATTGATCGAGCATACGTCACTGAGAAGGCGGTCGAATGACATGGTGCTCAATGCAGGCCATTGGTCGAGTGGAAAGTCAATGGGATGCGACGAGTGAGTCTTCGGTGAGAGGATGACATGGAGATCGTATGGGGAAGAGGAGGAGGTGAGAGATTATGGACAATCATAGACCCGACTAAAGATGAAAGCAGAAAATGGAAGGAAGTGGGGATGTGTTGTTGAAGCCCAATGTTCCACTCTGAACTCAAGGGAGTAATTGCAACAATACTTTTATATGCACTTATACTTAAACTCGTCAGAGCCTTGTGCATACAAACGCTTAAAACTATTTTGTGTCCAAAAATTATTTGTTATTACCTTGAACCTGCCTTAGTAATCAAAATTTTAGAACCAAGATTTACCTTGAGGTTAATTGGTGGATGGTGACTAGCAGTGGAATCCAGGATAACGCGCATTTCGTCCTATTTGAGACTCGTCACTGGAGGGGTCTGCAATATCCAGTGAGTGATGGAGTTTTCACTGAGACTCGAAATGAATACCCTTCGTTTCAAACACTAAAGCGTTATCCACTAGACCACTTGGGTCCAGTCGGTCGACGGGATGATCAAAATTGAATAAAAAACAGAAATAATAACTGATGCCCGTTGCACAACAGATGCATCTCCTGACCCATGTGGTTTAGTGGATAACGCCATGGAGTTTGATACCATTGATTCTGGAACACCATCATTCACTGGAGATTGCAGATAAGCCTAAATGATAAGTCCCAAATAACATGGAATGGGCATTCTGAATTCCACTGCTAGTCATCATCCTCCGACCTAGACAAGGTCAACTGTAATTCTGTAGGAACTTGATTGGTTTCAAGTTTGACCACTGATTGATATGAGTTAGAGGACCATTAAACACCAGCAGAAAGTACTGGATAGCTGTTTCGTCCCAATTTGTACTGTTCAGTAGTTCAATAGTTATAGTTATGTGAACATGACAATTTTCTGATTGGACAATCTACAAACTTCATACAACCAATCAGATTAATGTATTACATTAATGACCTAGCCTAATTTTGCGTGGGCTGGAAATGCATATACACAGATGACATTTTGTTTTTGTTTATAATCAAAACGTCTTTACTGTCTATCACAGGTCAGCCCTTATCTTCCTATGATTTTGTCACTCAGTGGCGGAGAATGTATTAAGGAAAAGGAAGAAGAATGGCGGAAATGATACACGAACAAAACCTCAGCACTATGTTCATTTCCATCATAGAGTAAATTAATTTGATAAAGGTACAAAGTGAGTGATACTGTCATTCTTACTACTGATAAGGTTTCAAGAATAGTTGATTTTATCGCTCATAGTCATATCAGTGTCTTGACATGATATCAGAATGTACCTCTCATTTCTACACACAATGTAAACTCAATAGTAATGGGAATAAAATTTACATTTGAATCAGAGAATGAACAAGGAGAATTAGCTTTGTTGGATTGTTAAATTAAAACAAACAGGAGAAAGTAAATTATGCATTCTAACAGATACTAAGACTTCAATTTAACTCATTCTATATTATTTTTTGTTTATTAAATATATCACACAGTGATGAAACAGTATTAATCTTAGTTACTGGATGAAAAAGTTTCGAACACAATTTATCACTGTTCACAATCGTATCAGTTATAATCACACAACACCGAAACTTTATAGTTTTCTTTATTCTTTCCTATTCGTCATCGCAGGTGTAGAAGAATTTTTCAGATATCTGGGTGGACAGGTGTTGAATCATTCCTATTACATGTATTCCCTGTCAGTTGATTCGATGAGTAAAGCTTCTGTTATCAATCTCTCCCTCCACCCTGTGACATTAGATTTTAAAACTGTCATCCTATCCCATCCTATTGTATGGTTGTATGTAACTGCATGTAGTGCTATAGCTGAACTATTCTCTAGATTTCTTATATTATTCGGGTCAATCAATACAGATTTTGCTAGGTGTTTGTGCTCCGCTAGTCTGACTGACTTCCCTATGTACATTACCCTGATAAATTAATCAGGAAGTATGTAGGAAAATGTGTAACTAAGTTTAAAAATAATGGCAGTGATAGTGACAATAATAATACTAATAGTGAAGACATGCATGTCAAACATGCTCAGGATAATGACTAAACTAACAATAGGGAATATAAATCATCAGTAGTAGTTCCATACAAAGAAGGAACCTCGGATACCTTACGGTGGAAAATTCTTAACAAGGCAGGAATAAAGGTGGCTATCATTCATACCCACAAACTCAATTAGAAAGAAGCTTTGTCGGTTAAAGGATCAATCCTATGGAGCCAATTAAACAAAACAATTTAGTTTAACTAAAACATTGCTGGAATGATTGTCAGGTCAAATACATAGGTCAAACTAGTAGAACAGGGGCAGTCAGTCAGACTAACGGAGCATAAAACGTTAGCAAAATCTAGATTAGTTGACCCGAATACGATAAGAAATCTGGAGAATACTTCAGCTATATTCGTGTAATAGGAATGATTCAACACCTGTCCACCCAGATATCTGGAAAATTCTTCTACACCTGCGATGACGAATAGGAAAGAATAAAAAACTCTAAAACTCAAGTTTCGAAGTTGTGTGATTATAATTGATGTGATTGTGAACAGTGATAACTTGTGTTCGAAACACTGTCATCCAGTAACTGACAATAATACTGTTTCATCACTGTGTGATATACTGAATTAACAAATTAACATGGAATTACATACTGTCACAGTGTTCGAGCTTTACACACACACATTCGTTACCTGTAAAGACAGACTTAGTTAATTTTTTAACAAACCGTGCACAAACTCCAAGTAGTACATCAAAAAAGACCTAAATAATGAAATGGAATAGACAGAGGAGAAAGCCGAATTAGGAAGATCACAGAATCTCACAAGAAAAGGCAAAATAGCAGTAGTAGTGTGGTGAGAGCTGTCTGCAAGACAAAATTGTAGACAACAGTTGACATCAATGTTTATGTCCCAAATCTTGGTTATGAGAAAAAACAATAACAAAGCCTAACCTTGAGGAACTCAATAACCAATCACAGAAGACTTTGCGTGGGCGGATATGATTCTCAGATATATCAATGGACTGTCTAAGAAACGTCTATAAAGAGATGACAAAATAACCTTGAGCAAGAAGACAACCAATCAGAAGACGTTGCTTCTCTGCTAACAATGGCGAATTATAATAATGCACATAAAAATCTATAAATATCTGTTGGTTTTCTCAATAAATGATCTGTTGCCTGACTCTTGTCTTCTGTCATTACAGCAGTAGTGGAACAACTGATCATGATAGTAATAAGAAAGAATTTAAGGCCTCCACAGCTGTACCTTATAAATAAGAAAGGGACAACTGAAACTCTCTATACAGGATCCTTCATAAACCAGGATTCAGGATGTCACTTAAACCTACGGAAACCTATTCTGAAGGAAAACTCGATTGACCCAATTCAACCGCGTGGGTTAGACCAGAAGATCGGAGGTTGTCAGATTATCAAGACATAAGAATTTAGCTAAGTGTAGAATGACTGACCCCACGAAGATGAATAACTTAGGCAAAAACTTAACAATCACATTTCATGCATTAATACACAATATGATGGAAGTGAGCTACAGTTCTATAAAGCAATATAGGTGGGTGAAGGAAGAGGTTGGTCACTGAATCTTTATTCATCGAATCTACACCTGACACATACAATAGGAATGACTCAACACCAGTAGCCTCCATGTGGAAAATGTAACTACCAATGAAATCTAAAAATAACAAATAATGGAATTATATAAACGAAAGTGAGAAGTTACGGAAATGCGCTGATATGCTTTATTCCCCTTGAAAACATAAAAAATCACTAGGCGAATGAGCAGAATGAACACATGAGATCAATAGCTAACAATTTTAATACCTGAGGATTGATTCTTCTCATCCCATCTCTCAGTTGTCTCCTGCAACACTCTGTTTGCTCAGCTGATGAAGCGGACATTGTTGTCGATGATGATGACGATGATGTTGTTGTTAGATTCACAGTCTGACAGTCATTCGATGAAGTTGTCTTCTTTGTATGTTGTTGTTGTTGTTCTAAGTGTGGTTGTGTTCGTCGGGGATGACGTTGGTGATGAAGATCATGCAGGTGATAATGTTGACGTGTATTTCGCCTCCGTTTTTTCTTTTTATGCCATTTATGCATTTTACTTGTTTGATTTATATTCCCTGATTGTAACTCTTCATCACCTTGATTCATTCTACTTTCTTTCTCCTGATTGGTTAATACAAAATCACCGCGAAAATTAAATTTTTGATTTAATGAGTTTTGTGCTGTTATTGTCATTTCTGGTTCACTGTCAGAATTGGAATCTGAAGTACTAAAATTGATGAACAAATAAAAGTGGAATTTTAAGGTAATAGGGTAACGTTTTAGTAAATACTTTGGGGAGAAAACTGTGAATACTACGCAAAACAAAGCGTTGAATACTTCTCAGTTTCCGTTCCCTATAAAATTCTCAATTTTGTTATACACACCTACTTTTTTCCAAAATACCGCGTTTATTTTTACAGTACAGAAGTGTCTGTATTTCCCACCCACCCCCAACCCCACTATACTTATAACCGCTGAAGTCTATGAAATTAAGGTCACTTGAATGAGAGCCCGGATAGCTCAGTGGTAACGTCTCTGACTGCAGCACTGAGTGATGCGGGTTCGAATCGTGTCGGTGGCACAGCGGTAGAATTCTTGCCAACTACGCATATGGTTCGGGGTTCAATTCCCGGCCACGGACGCACTCCTACACCTCGCTAAGCCAGTAATAAGACAGGTAAAGTGGGAAGGTTACTCTGTGCATGAGGCTAGCAACCCCATCCCGTAAAAAGAAACATCACTACTACTGAAATCTCAAGCCTTTAGCTTGAAGCCGTATGTTCCACTGAGAGCATAAAGGAATAAATAAAAGAAGAATTTGAATAAAGCAAGAATAACAATCTGTACAGAGCAAGATGGTTCCATCACTTACTTCGTTGGCTTTTCATCAGCTGTTTACAGCCTAAACATATTTTTAATGTTATGTACAGAAACATTTTTAACACACTTGCGATATTCACATGATGTCAATTAAGAGGAAGTTCCGAACTTAGTGAACAGTGCTCAGAAAATTACGCTTATATAGTCTTTGCACATGGAGTTCAAGTTTCAACAAGGTAAATGTATGCATAGAATGGTAACAGATTTCAATAATAAAGACGAGAGGATGATGAGTAACGAATATTTTGGGTGACAATATACTGAGTTCAACTCAAATCATTGAAACAACAGACAAGTAAAATTACTCTATATATTGAAGGGTGGGGTTGAGGTTAAATCCGAAGATTATGTAATCGAGTGAAATAGAGAATAAAGACATCTAGTTACCATGATGGGCAAGGAAAGACTGACGATAACTGCTTCTTTCTGAACACATAAATTGGGATTCAGGCGTTTGATAGAGATTTTTTCAGTAAACTTGAGAAGAATTGAGCTATTTCGCCTATAGATAATTTTCAAGGATTTTGCGATTTCCACCTCATGGTCCGTATCAAGTTTTTTTGAACACTGTTGAGCTGAAAAAGTAAAAGCTCTCTACTCAACGCTTTGTCTTCTCCCTTCGTCGTCTCTGCTCCACGTGTCAGTGGTATCGTCTTATGATAGTTATGGTAGCAAATAGCGATTATAACCGTAGGTTCATAAATCTTCTAGGTAGAAAGTTCACTAGAGCAAGAGACTCGTAAACTACCAAGATGTATAAACGGCCATACTGAATTTGTGGTAAATTAATAATAATAATAAATTATTCCCTTGCGTTCCGAGTGGAACATAGGGCTTCAAAGGGATACCTCCATTTTGTTCTGTTTTCTGACGTCCTCTTCAGCTGGGTCCGCGATTGACCAAACTCTCTCATCTCTTTTTTTGATGTGGTTGTGTTCTCTGAGCTGGATAGTTAATTTGAGAAGTTTTCATCACCCTACTAAGTGATATCTTCAATTTGAAGTGAGCTTTCTAGATTTCTCCACGAGTTTATTTATCATCTCTCCCAATGACCTTGGACGTGATTGGTTGTTTTTGTGTGTTTTCACACCTTCTAGGTTACTTGTATTGGAACTGATTGTTTCTTTGACTTGAACTTTGACCCTTTGTGTGTGAGATTTCCTTCTTATCGGTTGGTAAATTTTGTCTATCTCGATGTGTCTATTGATTGATGATTCACTGGAATGCCAAGCTTATAAAAATTCTCTCTAGCATTTTTGTTGTTTCCTCTGTGGTCTAATATTTGAACATTGTCCCAATCTAATTGATGCCCGTGGTTGTCTGTATGCAGTGATATGGGGGAGTGGATGTCATGTCTTTTGACGGCTAGCCACGTCCAAGGTCACTGGGAGCGATGATTAATAAACTCGTGGAGAAATCTAAAAAGCTCACTTCAAATTGAAGCATACGCTGAAGATGTCACCTAGTAGGGTGATGAAAACTTCGCAAATTAACTGTCCACCCACATCAAAATCATCCACCTGAGCTACAAATCTTCTCCATCATATCTGTCATCTCTTCCTCACACGATCTCCTTCATGTCACCCAAGGATGACCCACTCGTCGCTTCTCATTTGGAAACCATTCGAGGACCTATCGTGCGATGTCATTTGGCAGTCTCCTCAATGTATGCCCAATCAATCCATCTCCATTTTCTCCTACATATATATTGAGCGAACAACTCTTGGTTGGTTTGAATTTCTGGGGGCCTGCTTAAATCATTAGATTATCTAACCTTCCACAGACTTGTTTTCAACATTTGTTAATGATCTTGGAGATCAGTCTGTACTTTCGAATGACTTCCAGCCTAATACTTGGTCCGTTCTGAGGGGATAGATATGTCGGGTGGGGGTGGGTGGGTGGTGCACACTTGAGATAGACTAAATTTCTGTCTAGCCATATGCTTTAGATTACTGTTTCACTTGAAAATTCTGTGTATAAAGAGTAGACATAATCCAACTGACAATTCTGTATTGTATATAAACATCCCACTCAGAGAATTTATAACATGAACAAAATTAAGGTGGGTAAAAATGTGGGTATCATTCCTTTCGAAATTAGTTCAAATGGACTTTTTCTAGAAGTGAAATGGGTGACGTAAGGAACAACGTGGAGAAAATGAGGAGAAATTGCGGAGAGTATGTAGTTCATGTTGCAATTTATCCATTTTTGCCCAGGGTCTCAACCGATCAAAAGTGCCCATCTTATCCACTTTTTCAGTGAATTACTCATGTGTATTCGCAGACAACGAAGTTGTTCAGAAGAAAGGCATTCAGTAAAATGGCATCTAATCCAATAACCCACGAATTCGAACCTCTGCCAGCCTGTGATGCATATAGCGCAACTATCAGCCAGTGTCAGTGGTGCGCAGCTGTTCTTTTACTTGACATGGTAGACCTCACTGGTTATGACTGCTCACTAAAACTTCAGGTAACTTCGTGCATATAACTAGACGCCAGTGAGCATGACATTAATTTTCAGGTGTCGGTATGTAGGGATTTTATTGGTGACAGGTTTGATCATGAATTTGTAGAGACTGGAATTCATCGGCTGTTGAATCAGGCTCTGGTGGCTGAGTAGTCTACGAGTTTGATTTGTAACTGGGAGTTCCTGGGTTCGACGCCCCACGGGTGTGTACTGATGAAGAGTCCCAAACTAGAACTTCCCAACTTTCTAAAAGGTCTGTAACACGTTTGAGTTTAAGAAAAGAGTTAGAGACTTAAAGCTGAATGATAAGTCCATGATATCACTGAATGTGTCTCCTTTATTCCCTGATGTGCATTTATCGGAAACAATCCGGAAGGATATGTTGATAATTTTTCTAGAGTTGTTCTCCACATGACGGTTTTAGAAGTCTTACTAGTGGGTCTTAAATTTTACGAAAGTTGCATCTGGATCAATAAAATGAACCTACTATATACAGAGTGAAGACCTAACCGCTTCATCAAATGAGGAGGTTAATAGATTTAAGTCGACTTTAGTCAACTTCTCATAGCTTTCTTTTTCTCTAGCATCGAAGAAACAACGTCAGACCTATGCGTTCAGAAAATGTGGTTGAAGATGAACCTCATATGGCATATGACATCCATAACTGAGAATAGTTGTCTAGAAAAGTTCACAACAAAACATATAGACCTCAAAGTCTAAAAACAGGAATGTTCTACATCTCTGGCCAAAATATAACATTATTTGCTATTACGGTTTTCAGTGTGACATATCAAGTGAAGCAGTAACCAACAAGCTAACAGAATCCATTCAAAGAACTCTTAATGGTCATATACCGCAGCTCATATTTAATGACTTTGAAACTGAAAGATGAAGTAACTACCCTAGCCACCTCTTGTTGTATCTATCAATTCAACCGCTCCTTATGTGAAGCCAGTTATGTCGTCTGTTACCTCTAAAAACTTTATATTTCGTACCCCGGAATGCCTACTTGATTCAAACAGGTCATAAAGCTAACAATAAATAATCTTTTTCTATCGTCAATCCTGTGCCTAATAGACTGCCGAAGGCCTCTAGTTATCAAATATTCCAAACAGTAGAAGCCATTGTAATTCCCTTAAAATCACCGGAATTCCAAGCACAAAAGGAACAGATGCAGGCACTATTATGATATCGTGATCTGTTGTAGAACTCATCAATTCTGTATTATTATTTCTCATAATTTTCTAATATTTACTTCAATATGGTCATTATTATCCCCATGGGTTCCGAATGGAAAATAGGGCTACAACAACACATCCCCATTTTTCTCTATCCTCTGCTGTTCTCTTTCACCCACTCGTCGCTTCCCATCCAAATTCCACTCGAATAATGGCCTGCATTCAGCGCCATGTCATTCGGCCGCCTCTTTAGTGAAGTATGCCCGATCAACCCATCTACATTTCCTCCTACATATTGGTTGAGTAATCGGCTCTCGCCTGTTGGTTTGTTCCACTGAAGAGATTCTTGTTGCTAAAGCTTTCTTTCTGAGTAGCCGGGTGGCTGGTCATTGAATCTTCGGTATGGAGCCAGCCAGTGAAGGAGCCAGCTGTTGATAAAAGTCAATAACGTGTTGGAAATGCTTTTCGTGAAGTCGAAGTCCATGAAGTTGAAGTAGGGACAGGTCTTACTGCCATTCTATGCTTTGTTCTGTGATGACGATGTGTAGAATTGGAATTTGATCAGCACATGACATGGCCTTTCTGAATCCAGCTTGTTCCCGGTGGGAAAGGAGTTCTGTATCCAGTGCATCTTTCATTCTCTCCAGGATGATGCAACTTAGTATTTTACTTGGCGTGAACAAGAACACTATTCCACGTCAGT